TTCTACTCGACGGAGAAGTTGTACTACGCGAAGAAAAGACAGCCACCTCGCCATTCGTTGCGAGAAATGTGGACTGTTTACGGCCGTCCGTAACGACGCAAGGTCGGTATAAACGATGAAGGGCCTATCTTCTATAAGATACAACCCGAAACTTAGCCAGTATATATTTCATGACAAGGCGTTCCTTGTTATGCACCGGGTAATTACACTCAGCTGCTTGCAGCTGACACGATTGATAACAGACGACGCGCTCCACTCCGTCTGAGTCATACTGCATCAATGCGCAGCCGATTGCAAAATCGCTGGCGTCACAGACCACATGGAATGGTCTGTCCTGGCCTGCAATCGCCAACACAGGCGATTGCATCAAGGTTTTCTTGATACCTTCAAAAGAGTGCGGACACTCAGCACTCCATGACCACCTCTCGTTTTTCTTTAACAAACGAGAGAGATGTACGGTCATCCCGGCGTAGTTGCGCGAGTACTTGTGCAAGTACGCCGCTAAGCCAAGGAACTTTCGAAGTTCCTTGACGTCAACCGGCAAAGGCCAGTCGCTAATCGCCTTGATCTTTTCCGGATCAGGGCGTACACCGTTTTTACCCACGATGCAGCCAAGAAGTGGTAATTCGTTCGCTGCGATTATTCACTTCTTTAGGTCCGCGAACAACGTATGCTCTCACATTAGTGTAAGAACCTTCCGAACGTAGATTATATGAACCCCCACGTCCGTCTTTCCATACATAGCCCGGCTATGATCGAATACATCGTCAAAGTAACTCGGTGCGAAATCGCGCACCGATCGCAACAAGCTCGTAACAAATCTGTTAAACGTTGCAGGGGTGTTTCTTAGCCCCTGTGGCATCACTAGCCACTCCCAGAGCATACCACTGGGGGTGCTCACTACTGTGTAAGGGATGTCCTGTTCACGCATGAGGATCTGATAGAATCCATCCATCAGATCCATGGACGAAAAGATGGTACTCTTTGCCATACCATCTATGATGACGGCCTTCCTTGGGATCGGCGTTTGAGCCAGTACCGTTGCAGCGTTCGGTTTGTTGAACGCGTGCACTATCCGCCACCCTCCTGTGGCCTTTCGCACACAGAAGGTCGGAGAGATGTGAGGAGAAGCTAATTTTCTTATATTTCCGGTTGCAAAGCAATCGGCATAAAACCCTTGTTGATCGCGAGTACGCGTTCACGAGGCAGTGGACACTGCTTCGTGACACAGTATTTCGAACCTGGTTTCAGGTGGATCTCATGCCGTGTGCTTTTGTCCTCAGGCAACTCGCATGGCACGGATTTCGGGAAAACATCCCTGAATTCAACCCAATCCTTAGACAAAGGATTTGTTTTCAAAGACAACTAAGATTGAGACGTGTATCGCTTAATCCGAGTCTTCTCATCACAGACACGTTCTTCCATCGATGAGCTACCGAGAACCCGTTCATTCTTAGCAATCACTTGTGCCGACCGAAAATCGGCGACGTTCTCGTCCTCTGTGACGAGTACGCAGATCTGCTTGATCTTGTCACAACGCAGATCTCGCATGAATCTTTTACATTCTAGGGTTGGCAATTTGACTACCGCAGAAGCTGCCTTGGGGGGTGTAACCAGATCAAGTGTATAAGCGCCTACACTTGATCCGTCATTCACCAAGACATTCACTGACTCGGCAATTTCGTGGGAAAACACATCCGCAGGTAGTTGGGGATCTACACCCTCAACATAGCTCTCTCGGGAGTTATCACTCTCAGAAAAGCTGGATTTATCTTCCATTACGTGTACTACCACAGTCACGTTCTTTTTCGATCGACTCTCTTTCAGTCGATCGGGCTTGCTCTACGATCGACTCTCTGATAGTCGATCTCGCTTTAACTTGTTGTTCATCTTGAACAACACTAGCCTCTCTTATTGTATGCACCCTTCTTGGTGTGCATCCGTGTTCCAGTCCACTCGATCTCTTCGAGTGGTGAACCTTCGGCGCAGCCTGTATCTCTACACAGGTGCCGGAAGCTAGTTCCACAGTGTAGTGGCCTTTTACACTGTAATCTTGTGCAATCGTACCAACGACCGTACCACAAGTGAGGCCACCGCACTTACTCGTAGTACATCCACACGATTGTGGACGCTCCAAGACGTTCATCAATTGGCCATCCGATGAACAAACGGCAGGCATCTTCACGGATCGATGCTGCCAGCTGACCCATGGCTCGTATCTTCTAAGCCAAGGCAGACCGAGGATGACATCAAATCTGTCATCCAAATCCAGTACGATGAATGCATCGTCGTACTGCTTTCCTTATAGCGTGTAGTGGATTCCCACTACACATTTGTTCGCTGTTACGGATTCGCTTGTAGCAAGACACACCGTCATCCTCGTTGGAGGGAACTATCGCTCAACATAGTTGAGCCTACTATCTACAAGTGACTGACGTCGAGTAAAACTGTTCGACGCCCCACAGTCAACTAGGGCGCGAAGTGACATTACACTTGTCACTTGGATATTCAAAGTAATGAGAGACTCCTCATCACTAGGGTCAGTAACACATAGAGACTGTGTGTTGGGAGCAATCTTCGTCAAGAGTCCTGCAAATACTCTTGACGTTGCTGGATCAGTAGGGTGCTCCGCCCCTACTGACCCTGTCGGTTTTTTGACGGTCCGACTTGCTGTCGCGGTTTAGCAACATGGTTGGATCTACGACTCGGACCTTTCCTTGGCCAGCGGTGGTCATCACGTCCTGTCTTTGGACGTGTTGCGGTGCTTGACACACTACACGCATGAGCGTAGTGTCCAATCTTCTGACAGCGATGGTATCTTGCCGTCCGCTTGTGACTCAGAGAGCGAGAGTTCTCGCTCTCGATGTAACAGAGGTCCGTTGGTTCGGGAACTCCTGTTTCCTGTCGTCTCGTCGGGCGATAGTTTGACAAGTTATCCTGAGACTATCTCAGGATGAAGCCTTCTTGTTCCGCATACGCTATCGCCTTCTCCAGCGTATGGAAGTCCTATTGGAACATGTAGGTCTTCACCGTCCCATCTACAAGGCTTTAGATGAACATGTTGATGAGCGTGTGCTCATCAACAGGGTTTTCCGTAACGCAACTCGCAAGGTAGCGTAGGTGCTGTGCGTGAGCGTGCACGTCACACTTACCTTGCTTTAGCCTCAACAGTGCAGAGCGTGCTCTGAACTCGGCTCTCGGCTCTTTAAGCCGAGAATTCAAGATCTTCAACGACTTAAACACGTTTGGGTCGTGAAGCTTGAGCCCTAAGGCCCAAGTCTTTGCTCGTCCCGTCAAATTTGACAGGGCGAAGGTAACTTACATCTCGTCACCCTCGATGTTTTACGGGCCCTGTTGGCGTCTTCTAACTCGACGAACCATCTTAAAAAGTACTCTTCATCGGTTCCCTTGTCCCTTGAGACATCAATCTTCAAGGTTTTGGGTCGACGCACGGGCGTCGGCCCGCCCATCGACTGATGAGAGCCTTGCTGTTGTAGCAAGGCTATCTTCTGTCTTTCGACGGCAAGTTCCCCTTGTAGGAACTTGTTGATAGCGGCATGTTGCTGGTATCTGCTTAGAGACTCCAACATGCCACTGATGGCGGGTTCGCCCATGAGCACACTCATACGGCCTACTACCTCCCATTCTGAGTCACTCAGATGGGAGTAGCCTCACGTGTGACGTGAAAGCTGTCGTCTTCTACGTCCAACATGCTCATGTTGGACGGACACGAAGTACTAATTGGATGGACTACAAAGTGCTACCAGGTGTAACGGGGCACCCATTTTCTGGGTTCCACAAACTTCACGTACACTAGTACGTGCAAGGAAATCCAATCTACGTGAACGACTCGTTCAAGTAAAGGTATAAAGAGAACTGTATTTGATATAGTTGATCTATCAATATAACTTCAATCTCTTATCTAACTATGTTAAACTACGTCGTCGTATGACGACAACCTGCTCAGCACTCATTGCGCGCGTCTAGCAGCGATAGGTGGCAATCTATATTGATGTGTCTTATTTCAACCAATCTTGGAGCAGCACATGAATATTGTCCTAAAAGGGGATAGTGTTCCTTCAATATTATCTATCTCAGATAATATTGGTAGGATATTGTTAAGCTATACAATATCCGTATTGACACCGTTTGGTGTCAATTTCATGTAACGGGCTGCCCCGTTACACTTTCGATAAATTTGCATCTGTCTTTATTTAATTATGTCTAAATACAAACATGCATTGTAACTATCTTCGTACTTTTCATTGCGGGCTTCTGTCATGACCAGACTTCTTTGGTCGACATCTCGGTCCTAAATCGATTAATGAGTAGTGTGTTACATCTGCGAAGCAACATCGTCTATTAGGATAATGTTGTGAGAATGTTGTGTTTGTCCTAACATGATATTCATACTTGATAATTGCCTTACCAAAATTATCGTGTAACGGAGGCACCCCGTTACCGATGCGGTGACCAGGTGTATCCCATTTGGGTCCTTTTTTAGTTCCTAATCAGGCAATACGGCTGCCGACGAAACACAACAATGTAGTGGCGATTGAGTGATTTTCCTCTAAAAATAGACCGAAATCGCGCTAGAAACAAAAGGTTGATTCGACACTTGCACTCTATTTGCCGAAAATTCGTGCGTGACGTGATACGATCATCTGGATATATGGACCCACACGCATTCCGAATGTGAGCGCACATAATCCTTTTGGGCTTTTTGTGAAACGTGATACAAAAATTTTGCAAGATGTGATACAAGGTATTTTATTAAGGAAAATTTATTTAAATTACAACGATAAAATGATAGCTATCTTAAGGCCAATTTTACTGCATGTTTGATGGTGTATTAATGTTCCAGTATTCAGCAGGACTACCCGACGCAAGCCTATCAAATATCATACCAATTGATACCGTTATTCAGTAGTTATGCTAGTAACTAAGAACAGGCTTGACAGCCCCACAACAAAATGCCACTTTACCAGAGCACAAAGAGCATGGGCGCATCAAGCAGCGTTGCCGTCGTGGGGGCTAAACGAAGGATCTGGACGGGGAGATGGTGCTCAGCGGTGCGTACTACTAGTGGAGATGGTTTCATTTTGCTGTTGGTCTGCATGAATAAGGGGGTGTTTTTCGATTGCTGATGAAGGGAAGATGTGGAATTTTAGACAGATTATCACATCGAGACAAACGATAACACTACCGTCAAAAATCTGATAAATGACACGATTGTGGAGTTTTATCTGTCTGACGCGATTGGTACGAACGGACTGGCTGATGGCACTGTATATTTGTCGATATTTGCTGATGTCTTGGTTGATTGAACTGTAGGGATCGGCAAATACGACCATTTTCGTGCGAATAACGCTTTCCCACACCGTATCGCACTATACCGTCTGCATCCACCATGCTAACAGGACGGGCAGATAGAAAAATGAGGAGTTGAGCAGTGTGCGTTACCTTGACAAGGACGGCTACATCAACAAAGAGAGCTTCATGAAGGACGTTGCGGCCATTTCGTCACGTTTTGAGAAAAAGGACAAGCAGCAGTAAGCAGGCGAGCAGCTAGATAAATTGCAATCCCAAGGCGCCGACCAGATGTCAGCTTCAGGGTACCTCACAGATCGACCGATCAGAGTACTACAAACAGTTAGTCAACACAGTCGAGACGTAGTTCCTTCGTGTTGATACTGTACGAACAAAACTCGGTGACGATCTTCGTTGAGTCCTTAATGATAATAAGATTCGATACCTGTGCTGTCACCTGTATCATAACTTGTAACATTAGCGAAACGTCGATACTGCAGCAGCAATATCTCAGTCACAATATATCTTTAAGTCTGATTTCAACCACATTCATGTTAGACCATATCATAGCGCTACGATGATCTATCTCGGTAGTCTAACGTCAATAAAAGCGGCATGTAGCCATATGGTGTCCTGATGTACCACACCGCTTACATTTGTAAAGTTTCCTTGCTTTCCCACCAGACTCACCCTGTGACCTAATACGTCTTTTCTTCGGGCGTCCGGCTTGTTGAATATAAACTGCGGGTAGGATACTTAAATCACGCTTTAGCACGTGGTCCTCGGCAATCTCAAGCTTACCGACGATCGCTTGATACGCCGCAACTTTGTAACAATTGCCCATCAGCTCGTACGTAATATTAGGCTTATCGACCGCCCCTAAGGTCGCGATCAAATGGCGACACGAAATTTTGTGCTGCTTCCATGTTTCACATGAGCATGAAGCTTTCTTGATGTCAGCACGGTGTAGCTCCAGTTGATTGCTGAATCGAGCGACGGATGCTACATTTTCAGAACTGAACGTCACACCATACCTTGCAGCATCAATGAGTTGTTTCTACAACTTTTGTTCGGCCCGAGTCGTAATTGTACTTCCTATTTCCTCCATAGCATGCCCAATTGAAACCTTTTTTAACACCCATCCATCATAATTGTCGTATAGGCCTTGAAGAACTCGTACGGCATCATAACCCGTGGCTTAAGGCGGAGACTCTTTGCTTGCTCACTCTCAACAAAGTTGGTCATTTGCCATCTGTAAAGTGGAGTTGCTTCGTAATGTACGTGAAGTGTCCACTTACAAATTGGTACCGTATTCAAATAGATATCAGTAGCCGGGTTGATCGCGTATAGTTTGGTCATCGCGATGTCGAAATCAGATCGACGTGATGCAGCATTCGCTTCCCATACGAAATTCTCTTGGGTAAACAATAGCCGGACCATTTTGTCATTTCTCATATCACCTGTGCAGAAATAAATGACAAGTTAGAACAAAAATGCTGATAATTTGGGTGTTTCCGTACCTAGAATGTGACGAATGCAGAACATGTTGAAAATGTTGAGCTTTTCGGGGCAGATACCAGGCCAGCATTTCGATCACTGAAGACGGGACTCGTAGTCACTGGGAAACCATGTTTTATGACACGGAAAAAATCACGAGTAATTGTCGTGATCTTCAACAGGGACGAGCGAAATTGCAGCAATTTTGTTACTGAAATTTCCGTCGCGACTGGCCAATACAATCTGAACTCCGTTGTATTTGCGGTGTTTCATGTGAGCTGCATCTACACCAAAAATCCCCTGGTTATTTAAAAACCACTTCGGGTTAAGTACAACGATTGCCCGGCGGAAGTCCCCCTATCGTCGCATTGGAGCTCCGTAAGTGTTCCTGGGTTCAGACACTGAAACTTCGACAGTAGACTTGGTAAAAGAGTAATATTCGTTGAATCTTCTGAAAACAGCTCTATACTTATCGTGTCCTTAGCACGATACATCACATGATAGGACGTAGCCATCTTGGATTGGTGACGAAGTTGATCTACCAAAAATTCTTGCGGACGTGGTCAATTCTGCAGACAATGCACCACGGACTATAGAGCTGGTGATTAGTTGAGACGTTGAAGGCTTCCCGACGTTAAATCAATTCTGGTGATCCAGATTTCCATCCGTCACATGCCAGTCACCTGGGCCATGTTTGTTCCTGTATCGTGATAATCTAATATGCCATTCGCAACCCGAGCTTGCACTGTTACACTGTAGTTGTAGCGGAGCTACACAGCTCCTTAAGTCAGAGGAAGAATTAACGCTCTACGAGCAACTTAGTTCCAAAGAACTAACGACTTTACGATTCAACAAGCTTTACAGCTTCAGATCCCTGTTCCAGGGGACCTAACGATTCAGTGAATCAACAGCACTCAGTGCTCAATAGTAGCTACCTCAAGGAGGTGTTGCTAACTCTTAGTGATCAGTGATCAACGATCAAGACGGCTCGCAAGCCACGTGTCCTTTAGATCAAAATGGGAACTGATTTTATTTTTGTTAACGCCTATAGAATATCTTAATTCTACTCAAAGATCTTTCGTACCTAATGGCTGACACTCGTCAGCCCCTACAAACCAATAAGATATTCTATATCACCTTCACAAAGGGGTACCCTCAGGTGTGTAACACCTCTGGTACAAAGTACCATAATTTCGTGCAACCCCGTTACAGTAGTAAACGATATGTCCCACCTCTCGAAGACACGACAGCGCATTTACCTTGCGCAAGTGCAACATCTTTAAGTTCTTGGACAGCTGCCTTTTCTGTAGATCATCTTTTTGCCTTCAAGTCTTCCATTAAATCTCTTTTCGTTGGTGCAGGAATGAGCAAACGAAATCAGGAGCAGAGTGCTATACGAGGCATTTGCTTTATTTGCGACAAATATTCATAATTGACCCTAGATCGTGATAAATATCTTCAGAATGAGATAATTAAATTGAGATCGTATAAACCTATAATCTCTAGCATTGTTTAAGGTGCAAAACACTGTCATAAATAGCCTTTAGATCGTGATAAATAGCTGTACATCGAGATAAATAGCACTAGGTCGTTGCATTAATACCGGCAGATCTTTGTATAAATAGCTTCAGATCGTTGTAATTTAACTAAATGTCCTTTTACAAAATCTCTTGCATCACATCTTGCGAAATTTTCGTTTTTGTAGCACAGCTTACAAAAAACCCAATCCTTTTTGCCTCTGGTTTTGCGGCTCAAGGCAATTGCGTGCGGGAGTATCGTATCATCTATCTTTTGACGCACTCTAGGTACGAAGTGGTTTTTGCAATGCGGAAGGAGAGTGTGGTTCTTACAATCCACCGCAATTGTCTTGTCTTTTGTAAGGTCTGAGGAAATCAGAATTTTCATTTGACCCTCAAGAATCTTTCTGGATATCGATAGATCAATACCGGCAAGTGATGCTGTCTCCGTCGTTCGCTCGCGGTAAATCTAAATCTGCATGGTCCAAAAAGGACGATGTTCGCTTGTGCCGCTCCTTTGTGCTCGCCACACAGGGCGGCGAGGGCACTGAGCAGGTCAAACACATGTGGACTCGCGTGCAAACGCACTATGCGGCGCTGGCCGCAGAAGAGAACCCTGTAGCTGTGCCACGAGCTGGGGGCGCGCTTCAGACCCATTGGTCGTCCTTCATTCGACCGGAAACATCTTTTTTCATGTCGCTTCTTCTAAAGGTGAGGAGGTTGACATGGGCGAGTGGTTTAGGTTGTAGCTCTAGCTGCCGCAAGAATCAAAGGCCTACTGTTAATGTGCCTTCTATTGCGCGAACATAGGTGGAGTCAGAAAAACACGACGGTTGGAAAAAAGAAGATTACATCGAGGAGACGCTGACCCGCTTTGAGACGATCCGAAAGGCTGAAGAAGCTGAGACGATACGTGCCTATGATGAGGCCAAGCAGCAAGCCTTGCTGCGGAAGGCGGACCTGCCAAGCAAGCCTCGTATGAAAGTGACCAAATTCCGCTATGTTCATTGCGTCTCGATATTGAAAACAAGCAAGCGCTTTATGCACGCTGTCATGCTGGAAAGGATACCACAACTAAAGCCGAATCCCGCTCGAAAGCGCCAACGTCGCTCGAAGCATTCTTGTGATGCTGAGAACGCTGTCGAAGCAACAAAAGATTGTGATGAAAGTTCGGATTGGCACGGTAAGTCCCCTACGCAGCACAAGCCGCCGCTGAAGCACGGCAAGGATAGCGACGCATCGTCTGGTGCTTCAAGTTTGGCTCCCGACTCGTCTTCTTCAAACATACCTCGTGGCGAATCCAATGGCGAAAAGACGTCCGTGGCTGATGTACAAGATGTTGCAGCTGCAGCACCGACACCGTCCTTAGCATCATCTGATGTACGAGGGTTTGGCATACCTCGTGTCGATGACGGCAGAACCTCGTCGGCCGAAGCATCGATGCTCCGATCACAGCGCACACAGCAGAAGGCCAACTACCGTCTCAAGCTCCTCACAGAGCTGCGAGGTATCGTGGAAACCATGTCACACCTCGCCAATCAGATCGCGAATGGGACGGCCGAACCGATACGCATGCCAGCTGGCAGCCGCTTGGATCCGACACTGGCGGAGGAGGTGCAACAAGATCTGCACTTCTTCCGAGAGCAGAAATATCGTTTGAAGCAAGAGCTGGAGGCGCTCGATGACATAGGAGGTCGAACACGTGTTGGTAGTTAAAAGAGACACAATTGGTGCATTGAGGCCGTCAGTAATACTTTGGCAACCAGATTCTTTTGTTCGTCGTGTCGATACGCACAAGAAGAGTGTGTTTCGATAAACCGTCGTGGAAAATGCGTTGTGACGTCAAAAGCTGCAGAATAGGGTGGACTGTAGCACAAATTTGGGCCGGTCACTGAATGTGCCAGCACCAGTGACGGATCGGATGCTGGATCTGCGAGATCGGTAACGAGTGTATCTTTTTGCAAGACGATTTACTTGCAAAAAGCAACAATTCAAATAATCCATAGAAGAAAAACATCGAGTGATCCAGTATGTGCACCAAATGTGCAAGCGAAAAATAGAGAAACGCGTGGTCATCCCTTGGAATCAGCCAAAAAAAAAAGGGGCACGAGTCGTCCGTGCTGTGCTGCAAACACGGCTGCAACGCAGTTACGTTCGATCCGTTTCTGCGCTCTCTTCTACCTGTGGCCGTGCCTCTATACAGGGGGTACAACCCGAAGGTCCTTTTCAATTCATCGTCCCGTCCAAGTCCGTCCAATCGAGATGCGGCGGGGCAAAGAGCGCTGGACGCACGCAGACGACGAGCGTCTGAGCCGCGCCCTACTGACTGTATTTGCCAACCGCGGAGAGCCGGTTGTGCTCAGCGACAACTGCGCGCTCTGGAAACGCGTCCAGCAGCACTACCAGGACTTCATGACGGCCGAGCCAGACGCGATAGCCGCAGTGCGTAGCGTACGCTCTCTACACACGCGATGGGCACGGGGCATTCGTCCGGACTTGATCCTATTCGTGTCGCTCCTTCACAAGGTTGTTCGGTGAAATGTGCCACGGTTTTGGCAGACTGAGAGGTAGAGGAAGGGTGATGTAACTGGGTTATGGTGTCGTGTGGCTACTTGGTGACAGATGCAAAAGACTGGTATGGGGACTGGCAAGGCTGTTGAACAGGCCGTCCGGCTGTTCCGAGAGCAACGGAGCGAGAGCAACGCACTCGCGGTGCGTCAATTCGTGCAGAAGCGGCAGCGGACGTCCGTAGCGAGTGGCGGTGATGGCGACTCGGAGACGGACTCGAGTCGTCCGAAGCTTCGCTTTGAATCCTTCCACTTTCTGCACTGCTACGATATTCTATGCTCGAATTCGGCGTTTCTGAAGGTGCTGCTGGACCAAAGCAGGATGAATGGGGGCAACTTGTCGCAGCGAAAGCGACGTCAAACAGAGGCAGGGATCGAATTGAAGGGGGAGTCCAAAACTTCAGCTGTACGTGACAGTTGTACGATAGAAACGAAGCGGGTGTCAACACTTCGAGTTCCACCTACTACTCGGGTTGAAGGGGCTGAGGTGAGTTCTTCTAGTAGCCAGCGTATTCATCAGCACCCGCCAACTGTTCGACACCTTCAAGCGAGTGATCGGGAAATGATCCATTCTCATAGCGCAGCACAACCGGATTCCAGCAGCGTGGTCATCACTTTCAACAACGTAAATGACGATTTTGACGTCTCCCGTGTGGAGTGCGACCGTGCAGTGGCCAATGAATACGTCCGCTTGCGAATGCAGACACTTCAGGAAGACCGCCGCTTGAAACTGCTGGCTGAGCTTCGAGGCGTCGTAGCAACGATTGCCCAGCTTGCCCAGCAGCTTGCTTGGGACGGGGTGGCATCAGCAGCACTGGCTGCACAGACAGGGGTGGCCTGTATCGCATCAAACCAGGGCGTGTTGCGTGACATCGCGTTCTTCCGCCACGAGAAACAGCGGCTGAAGCGACGAATAGCGGCGCTTGACGGCTCTTTGAACAGAGATCGAGCGGTGCCGACCGACCTGAGACAGAGTAGACAGCAGAACTGAAGAAGTAACCGTGTTAAGTGTCGATCCGAACGCTTGTGAGAAGACTTTTGAATCGAAACGGTCCGGTCTATTTTCCATCCGTATCCATCAATTGCGCCTCAAATCCAAAAAGAGCTTCCCAAAGTGTCCAATCAATTGGTCCCTGCAGTCATGGCAGCCAGGACGTTGGCACTGCTCCCGTTGGCGGGTATAGTGGGCTGGAGTGCGAATGCAAAGCTCATTCGGATGCGCCACGACATGCGCGCTCCTCCTGGTGGTGAATCGCTCGAGTTTATTACGGGCTCGATGGACGACACCATCATGGAGACTCTCGAGACGGGCGACCTCATTTTCTTCCAGCGCAAACTGACGGCGATGCAGCCTCTTGCGGCGTTGCACACATGGATCAGTCGACTGCAGCTGCAGCCGCGCTTTGATCACTGTGGCTGGGTCTACGTGGATCGATTGGGCCGCAAGTTTATTGTGGAGGAGACGCTGGACAAGGTGCAGTGTCGTCCGTACAGCGCCCGTTTGCTCACGTCCGAAGCGATTGAGATCTCCGTCTTGACACTAAAGCTTCAGGCAGGTAGAATTGCTATCATGTTGACTGCGTTGATGAGGAGGTTTGTGCTAATGCTTTGTTTGTATTGCGCTGCAGCGATCGAAGGAGATGCAAGAGGCTGCTAGCACTTTTATTGCTGAGAACGCGGGCCGAGCGAGTCGAATCTCGTTGCTTCACACGGTCTATGCGCTGATTAGCCCTGACAAGATGTACAAAGTGTGCTCCAATGCATCACCTTTGTTTCCATCAGCAGGTATATTGAGCAGGTCGTTTGTGTATCCGTGTACATTGAGCTAAGGATGGACGATTGTGGTTTCGATGATGCAGCTTTCGTGGTCGAAGCCTATGATGCCATGGGGTTAGTGGACAAGAATCACCTGAATGACAACCGACCACCGTTATCGGCTGCTGTCGTCACACCACGCGACTTGGCAGCAACTAAAGTCAAACTGCAGATGCCAATTGGAAAGCGATCGGGTGGAGCCAAAGATCCAGCTTTTGGCCGCTTGCTCCCGATCAGGCTCCAGTAGTTCTGTCAAACATCGATCGACAACGGTCAGCAATGGTCACTCCATTCGTCGCTTTATTGATCAAAATGAGTTACTATGTGATTTCCAGTCTGTGTGTGAGCTATAGGCTTCACGTGTCTAGCTTCATCAATCGATGGGCAGACACTTGGAGTGAAAAGCTTGTCCGTTAGCGTAGTCACGAAATGATGGGGGCACATAGACCCATTCGTCGCTCTCTTTTGCGAGGAGCTTCTTGCACGACGAACATGGCGTCTGGTAGATTTTGTCGTAGAAGCTGAGCCACGTGAAAAGATGGTAGAAGCATGTCTCAGGGTGCTGTTTGCGGAAGTAGTCCAAAGCTTTTCGGCCGTGAAGCGTGACGAGGCGGAATAAGTTGTGCGATGACTCGGACCACGCACCAAGGGGAGCTTCCTCGTTGAAAGGAAAGATCGACAGTCGCTGGATGTACTTAGTAGTCTGAAGACCTGCAGCTCGAGCTTGCTCCTGCTCTTTGCTGGCCTCGCGCACTTCGGTGATACGATGTTTGAGTTCCTCCATCTCCACCTTAGTGGCCTCCTCGGCAGCGAGCTTGGCCTTTGTCAGCATGTCGCCTTTTTTCTTCTTCACGAGCTGCTGCTGCAGCTTTTTCTGCTTATTGCGAGTGCTACGCAAACGACCCCCAGCAAAGGCTGGGGATGTCGGCGTCGATGGTGTCATGGGGCTAGCAGCCACACCAGTCTCCCCGTTCGGTCCACTTTCCGGAATCGGTGGACAAAAGGACAAATGCACGGTTACCTCCTTGTTAATTTCGCACTTGATCGACTTGATGACTCGACGACCGCCCCGCGTGGTCTCGGCGTGCTTGAAGAACTTCAGCTTGCGATTCTTAGCCATCATGTAGTCCATCATCTCGTTGAGTGTAGCTGGCTGCTTCTCTCCGTAGGGGTCGAACACCCGGCTCCGTTTGTGAGACTTGGGCACGAAGAGACTGTAGGAGATGGGCGGACAGCGGACGTCGCCCAGCATCTCGAGACGGGGGAAAGCGCCGCCCAGCTGTTTCAAGTACACGGCTTGCGCCTTTGCCCCCATATCCTGCACTTGGTTCTTCCAGTGGTACTCGAGCATGAGGTTGCGATGCGTCTGGTTGACGCCCTCGATCGGTTTCGTCTTGCCATCTGCGTGTATGCATTCCACAATAGTCAAATGCTTAGCAAGCTGCGGTAGCTACATGTTGAGTGTGCTGTGCGACATCTAATCTAGAATAAGGACTCTATCAATGTATTGGTTCTTTTGTTTGATATCATGTAGTATACAGTATCACAGAAATCGACGCACCAAACTCGGGCACGAGCTTGCGCAGAAGCTTGAGATTCGTCTGCACACGCTCCAGTTTGTTCTTAATGGCAAGACGCAACGCGTCATCGGAAGCCTTCGAAGGCTCGAGCTTGGATTGCGCATCGCACAGTTCGAGAATGATGCTGTCGGCCGTGGAGCGTAGCACACCAACGCGGCCCAGCAGGATATCGGCGAGATAGAATGGGTCGCTCATGACGCGTCTAAGGGCGATTCGTGCTTCGGAATTGGACAACAACAGTCCCAAAAAGGGCATAAAACAATCAAAGTTACGTCCAATCAAAACATGACCTCATCTGTATTTCAGCTGTCGGTTACCTCCATGATCAAGGAAGTTGTCGTCTCCTGTGCTTTTTCTACACGGTCACAAGCATGGAGCTCCTCGCTCTCAGGTTCGTCATCTTCCATCGTAGCGTCGCTCTCGTCTTCCTCCTCAACCACATCGTCTCCGTTCTCACTGTTGCTGTTGCCGAGCATCTCGTGAGCTAGCCCGCTTTCCTCCTCCTCTTCGTTCTCCTCATCGTCGACGATGATCACATTGTCAGCTGTCAACTCCGTCGATAGCAGCTTCTCGAGCAGACCAATACGCTCCTCCTTCACAAGCGGCAGCGTTTCCGTCTTGATGGAAGAGGAGCAGGCCGACGCGGGGATTCCACTCGCAATAATACTCCCTTCATCGTTCCCACCTTCTACTTTCATCTTTACATCAGCTGTAGCTTTGTCGCCCGCCTTTCGCCGGGCTACCTCGTAATCGGAGATGGCAGCCACATGTGCCGCCACCGACTTAGCCAGCGAGTTCGTCTCCCGGCGAATATCATACCCACCCTCTAGCACCGAAACCACTCGACCGTCACACACCTCAGCAGCTAGCTTGAGAACTTCCAACGTAGCCCAAGCGTAATCCTCCTCAACATATCCAGCAGGTACGTTGAGATTGTGGACAGCAGCCACACCACCCAGGATGTCGTCGCGATGACCATCGAAGCCTGCTGAGATAAATATGATGTTGGGCTCAAACGCTCTGATTGCTGGCAGAACTTTCGACTCAACGGCAGACCGAAACGCTTGCGACCCGCTCCCGGCGCCAGTATTTTCAAGCGCCACATTCACGAGGTTGCCCGTCTCACATGACTTCCCTGTTCCCGGAAAGTATTTTCCGGATGAGTACAAATGGATGGACGCGAAGAATGCGTCCGGGTCATCTTTCAGTAGCTCCTCCGTCCCGTTTCCATGGTGGATGTCCCAATCGAGCACTGCAACTTTGCTAATCCATGGGTATAAACGCGCGTGAGTAGCGCCAATCACCACGTTATTCAGTAAGCAAAAGCCCGACGATGGGGCATGCTCCGTCCGACCGTGGCGACCAACATGGTGCCCTGGAGGGCGCACCAAGCATACAGCATTACGGTACTCTTTGCGCACGACCCGGTCCACAGCAAGACAAACGGTACCTGCAGCCGCACGGGCAACATCCCATGACTTGCTGCTTACGAATGTATCCAGCTCGACGCCATTTTGCTCGAGACTGGCAGCGCCAAAGGCTCCAACCAGCAGAGGCCGTCTGTTCTTCCCTTTTCCACCATGCTTTGGCGTCTCTTCGCGGATGCCTGAGTCGGACTCGAACACAAGAGCTCTTGTTGAAGGAGAAGATGCTGTAGGGGACGAAACGAGTTGCGACCCAGCCTCGATCGATCTTTCTTTTAGTTGTCGCAAATACGTCGGTGAGTGTACCATCAGCAGTGTTGTCTCGGGAGGACAGAGCTCTTCTGGTGTCATCGAGAGGCGGTCGAGTTCGAGCGTTTCTTGGTGCTTCTTTACCAGAGAATTTAGGATAGTCACCACTCGCTGCAGCATAGGGAATACATTGAGTCAAAGACACCGTTATATAATATACATACTCAGCACAGCAGTTGTGACAGCACATCACACTCACATCGATGCGCTCCGGGCATTCCGGGTGATTCTTTGGTGTCTGGTGATCAATAAACACGGGGTGATACATCACCGACGTTGTTGATTCTACCGTTGGTGGTACTGAACTTGTCTGCTCCTGCGTCAAGTTGGTCATCACACGTTTCAGCTCCTCCATAACGCCATACGGAGAGTCATGTTCTTCGTCCTCTTCACCCAGCTCGGCCAAAGGTTGTGATGCAATGAGCTCACACTCTCGTTTCAGACACTGCTTGGACAAATCCACACTGACAGGTGCCAAGAATGTACAGTTGAGCTCCTCCGGCCACTGGATGCGCTGCCACTGAGCCAAGCATAATTCAATTGCCTTACGTAGCTCTAGCTCGCGTCGGAAGCGCCCAGGAACATGCTGTGGCTTTGTATGTACACTGTTTTCACTAGTGGCATGGGATGACCCCATCTTTAGTGTCCCCGTTTCATCGGTCGGCAAGCATGAGGTCGTACCAGTGTTAGTGTCAACCGACAACACGACATTTTCGATCGGTGTGCTCGAAACCCCATTCCCACATTCTATTGCTCTACATCCTGCAATTACGGACTCCGATGCAGACTCCGTTTCCGCTTTCACTGCAATTGTGATAGATTCAGTCGTTGCTTCACCAGTACTCACAGTATCTACCTTCAGCTCTGCCTTTTTGGGCCCTACTGTCGCAGCCTCAAGCGGTGGTTCCATTTTTACTGACAAAGTGACTTTCTCAGGAGACTTGGCCAGTCCGGTTGTATGATTCAGTAACGAGCGCTGGATGGCTTGAACCATTTCTAATGATGAGCTCCGTTCTTTCCAAAGAGCTTCCAATTCGCCTGTATAAAAGCTGACATAGGCTTGCCTCAAACCTAGGCTATGGGGATCATCGCTCTCGGTAACAACCATGTCAATATCACCTGCAAGATTTAATCCCTCGGATGCAGCCGAAGTCGTGTCAGGGGAACATCCGACTACTCGATCAATATTCTCACGCTTTGTGACCACGCTGTTAGGGTCGACGCCAATATCTGCAGCGTCAACCGGACTAACATGGCCATGTTCGATGCCAAGATCCTTCCCTGACGATCGTGTCAAACTGATCAGTGCATTTCGATAGTACTCGAACTCTTGAGCAAAATCATCAAATCGAAGAGACAATTTCCGGAAGCAATTCAGTAAAGCCTCTTCGCACTTGTCCAGCAGGTCACCTAGAATCGGGTTGAACGAGTGCTGCATCAGTTTTACAAGCCGGGCATCCTGGTTCACGCGCGCGTGATTCTCTAGCGCCAACGACGCCTTCAAGTCGAGTTCGCGCATGGCTTCCCGGTACACAACTGACATCTCATTCAACTGGTCTTGCTTGATTTTCACCATTGTCTGTAACGCGTGCTGGTGATCAACTCCACGCTGAATACTTTTTCGGACTTGGCCTTCCCCAACGTGAAGTCGATGTAGATGCTCCATCCATGCTGTCTTCCCACCGGGCGCAACGGTAGATGAGCAGACTTCTTCCTCGGAAACTTCCAATTCAGCAACTTCCCTCTCTGCCAAAATATCAGCGTCAACAAATGTATCGGGCACCGGAGTCTTACTTGACAGCGGAAACAGTCGCCACATGTCTTGCGCTTCTGTACGGACGGCCAGACAGAATTCCCACTCGCAAGCATTCTCTGGTATTTCTACTGCAACCGATGGGGAGAAACAACTACTGCCTTGCAACGCCACGTCGTCGTTCGGCTTCGTACTATCACGTTCACACTTAACGCTTGTCGCGTTATCGTCAAACGATGAAGCTTCTAGACACCGACTTACCTCGTTGTTTTTGTCATCGCTTCTCTCAACGAACTCAGGCTGCTCTGTGTCAAACTCGTCGTCCATCATTTGTCCTGCTGCCTCATCCTTAGGCGACTTCGTTTCAGCCTTATTTTCCACTATCTCTTCCGTCTCATTCTTGTTTCTTTCGGCTTCCAGCCCACACTCACCATCATTCTCGCCTTCTATCTCACTTCCTCCAGCTGTCGTTTTCGAATTGCGCACAACCCCTGTCGTCTCTTCGCTAGCAGATTCTTCGATATCGGCATCTTCCAGCTTGCCGTCAGCACCTACGCGTGACTTATCGACCACTTTACTTCCGTCTTCGCTCGCACTCTGGTGAGTCGCTTCACGTCTGACACCGTGTCCGGTTGCTTCTGTTCCTGCTAGTAACAAAGTGACTGGCAGACCGATTGTTTCGTTTTCTACTTTCTCATAAGCAGCCACTTCCGATTTTACGTTTACTACCATCGCAACATCGGCCTTGTCCGCCTGGCTAGTAGAATCGCTCGTCAACTTTTTATCCGGCTGCGTTACACGCCCTGACGGTTCTACCTCTTTTCCATCTGCTTGTCGTCCTGACGCGTTGGGCTCCAATATTCGCACTTCTCGCTTGACATATCTCACATTCGACGAGAAACCGGATTCCTTAAACGTCTCGAGTCTTAGCTGTGCTGTGGGGGATAGAGTGCTTTCACCACTTGCAGCGGAAAGGGTGCTGTACAGATTAGATGCAGCTTCAGTCTCGATATCGTTTATAAACCGGGCCAGTTTCTGCTTCTCGTTTCTACTTAACATTTGAAGTCGGGCGCGGTAGTCAACGACAGCTTGCAGTCTGCTTTCGAAACGTCCGTTGACTATCGAGTTCGCATCACTCTCATCAACTGTAACCTTCAGATGCGCAAGATCATTTATAGCACTGATCAATTTCAGATACCGGGAACTAGACAGCAAATCCAGGATGGGAGCGCTGCAAGGTGGCGGCTGGCACAGAGGATCCTCGGGTATGTTAGCCGCGTAAATGTTCAACTCTTCGGTCATCAACGATATTGCATCCTGAATCTGCTCATTACTCTGTCTCAGTTTCAGATCGCGCGTCGTGAATTCCTTTTTTATGGTAGGCCCGAAGCCAAACACCTCAGTTTTTACCAGAGATGGAATGTCATCCCCCTGTTTCGTGACTTCCTCTTCACTCCCCTCGAACGACGAACGCAAACCCCACTGAACCCGTTGCGAAGCCTCAATCATTTTTACTGATCGTTGTAGCTTTGACACCCACGCATTCAGTTTTGTAATCGACAAGTTGTGCTCAGCATTCTGGATGCTGCGCCTAGCATGGCTTGATCTCCCAGTCTGGTGCACCATCTTTTGTTGTTCCACCCCAAACACTTCCTTTAGCATCTCATCGCGTCTATCAGGGAAGTTTAAAACGATTTCGCCAGAGCAAGCACCACCAGAGCCAGTTGGGCTTCCAAAGTACTGTAAAGCCGCCTTGTCGTATGCCATAGCTGCATCTTCCGCTGTGGGAAATGTGCCCAAATTAATCACCTTTCCATTTACGTGAATTTGTGCGTGTGCATATACACGATGTACCTGGACTCCCAGGTACTTTTTGCCCGGTCTTTTTTCACCAGAGGATCCGACTACTGGCTCATTAGTTTCCGACTTTTGACGTTTGACTTTTCGATGTCCATCGGGCGAGGTCAGTAAATGCTTTCCACGCCCACGACCTCGTCCACGCCCACGACCTCTGCCTCGTCCACGTCCAGGAGAAACACGGTACTCGGCAGATGATGACCGAGTATCTGGCACCGCAGCACTATGCTGTCCTGCAGCACTTGAGATGTGCGGACGCCCGCTAAAAGACTCTTCTGAACGGTTGAAGCTGCCGTGAAGATGCGGGAAATTCAGTTGCGCGCTCTTGCCATAATGCATGAGTGCAGCCTTGTCGTAAGCATGGGCTGCTTCAATCTCGCTCCCATAGGTGCCTAGCTGCAGATATTTGGAGCCCTGCCAGAGTTTGGCTACGAATGGTTTTTTGACGCCCCTCATCGACACTTTTGACACGCCCCTATATTTGGACTCCTTCATATGAACAGTCGAATTCAATTGAGTGGGCGTGGAAGATGATGAAGAAGAAGAAGGAGAAACTGAATCGGCATCCGCAGATGGAAGGGATGCTCGTTTGCCAGGAGCCCCTGCGGTTGGGACAGGGACAGCGACTGCACCTAGGGAGACGCCAGTGCAGTTCTGACAGTAGAAATCCCCCGCCGGTATCTCATTGAGAGGAGGTACAAGGCAGTACGTATGGTACTCCCCGTCGCAGCCGTCGCAGAGCAAGATGCTGTCCCCGTTTTGGTCCGAGCTGCAAACCACGCAGCCGTTGCCCTGCGCATGATACGACTCCCCTGCCTGTGAGCACAAACAACAACATGTGGTATGTTAGCAATGGCGTGTTCTAAAAGAAGGCAGAAGGGGCACGGACCACTCCCGAAGTCTTTCTGCGCTTGACGTGATGCTCGCCCCCAGCGAACATGTCCGATTCTTAAATTGTGGGCCCAAGAGGAGGGGAGATGAAGGCTGGTATACTGGATTTGGGTAGGCTGCAAAATGTCCCTAATGTGACCGCAATGTTCAGCTGCTAATAGTTGTTTACAGTGCACTATGTTTTAGAAACGTCGTATAGGGTAAATAGATACTTAGGTGCTATTTATTGCACTTTTTTGTGCTCCTTTTGACGTAAAATCAGGGGCACAAATTTAGTGGTGCTTTGGACTCTTCGATTTTCAATAACTGCAAAGACAAAGGTGAAAATTAGATCCTGCCTATCATCATGGTCGATTGATCGGATAAGCTGAAAGGCATATCACTACTAAACTTGCAACCTATCTGGACGCCACGTGTTGCTGCGCTTGTATGAGCAATGAATTGTAAATAGCGCAATAGTTGGAGTCCAAGCTTCACGTTTGCGCTCGAGGTAAATGAATGTGTACAAGTTTAGTTGTCTGCGTCTTGTGCTTGAACGTAAATGCTTTGCAATATTGATAGATAGGGATTGTACGCGCTCATTTGCGACGGCATTGACAGCGCTTGCGTTATCTAAGCCATCGTTGAATCGTCTATTTGACGTAGATACAACATGGCACGATAGCAAATGACGAAAGGCGACTGTTCGCAAGACCGATGAAGACAGAAAACGACTGAGCTTGATGCCGAGCCGTACATCCAGGTACGTAGCGGAACAAAGATCGAGACCAGGATGGAATGTGGCGACAAGAAGGTATAGTAATTGTTGAATATTAAGGAAACTAGCATAGAAAATACTGCACATTTTTTGTTGTCCAAAGAACGCTACGTAGTGTGCGGCTCAGCAGAGGTAGCGCTTAGACAAGCGGCAAACACACCACAAGAATGCTAGTCTTGTCTTAAATGTGCAACGCCTTGCATGCCTGGCAGGTCAGCCGTAGAAGAAAGATTGGTGTGTCAACCCCGGACCAAAAACACCTCACTTTTCACAACATATCGTTCGACTGCAAGTAAAGTTAGCACTTTGCTTTGCGTAAAGACGAAGAAAACATGTAGCTGACAATGAGCAACCGAAATGCAACATGCAACTAGATGGCTGGTGCTACCGCTAAGGCTCGCACAACTCTACCTACGCGCATTGTCTTCTTTAGCTTGTTCATACCTATATTGTCGATGAAAACTACGCTTGTATCCCCGAGCGTCCACATAATCTTGCAACAGTGGGGACACAGTTATCATCCAAGGCCTTCACGAGGTCGAGTCATTGGAACCGAGAAAGGCTCTTTGATAAAACTTCTGGAAAGCTTGTGTAGTTTTAGCCGTAACCTTGATTCTTTTCTGCCTAGGCCGATCTGGCCTACGATGTGAAGGGAAGACCGCGCACGAGCTAAGTTACCCGTGCCTAGTTCATGTATGTATGTCAAAAAGAGTGTGGTGTGGATGAACAGCAGCTCAGTTCGAGTAGAATTCAAACTTCTGGGCAAAGAGCAGAGCAAACCAAGTGGCATACTTCATGATGCTCGTTATAGCGTAGCCATGGTATCCGAGGCTAAAGTGCAATTTCTGATACATCTCCTCACCAGGTTACTGCCTCCCCTGCCTGACCGCCTTCTCTTTGTCATGATACTGTACGAATCAATTCTTGGGTGAGACCTTTCCGGGCTCGCTTAAACGAGAAAAGACCGACGAAATACAATGATTACGAGTGCGTTCCCGCGCTGTAGCAAAACTGAGTCTGTACGTATTAGCGTTGTTGTTAGTGTTGATATGAGACTGCGTGCCACCTGGGAGGAGGTGTGCAGCGTTGTAGATAAAGAACCACTTCACATTGAGTCAGAACGAGCCGATCAATGATTAAAAATGCGCATTGTCGCACTCCTTTTCAGCAGAAAGCTCAATTGGCTGTCGCAGGTATCCGTAAAGTGCTTGATTTCAACACGTGTGCAGCATCCGGACTCAGGCTGTGTTGAAAAAGTTGGACGTATGACGTCGCATTTCTCGCGTAGAGCGCACCGAAAATGCATCATGACTTCACGTGTCCACGGAAATCTGCTGTCTACATAGCATTTGTTGTGCGGAGCCTAGTGCTTGTATCTAGGCCGACTCGGATGAAACCAGATATCACTGACTCATTCGAATCATGAAGACCGACTTCGCGGCTTACGGATTCTTCGTTCTCTCCGTCATAGTCGTCACGTTCTAACAGGAGATCGACAAGGCAGCCCAGAAAAGACCATGAAGCCGACTTGAAAATACAGTAGTCGTGCCTGCAGCTCAGGCTTTTGTATCGTCACCTGACAGCATTATGTGTGCTGCAAGGCCACGACGTCCCATCCTGCTGCATGCCTTGTCACCGTTAGACTGTATGTCAATTCACATGCAGTCGGTAGCAAATGACGTCGTAACAGCGTTGGACTAGCACCGGGAAGTGCAAAGCTAGCAGCATGCTCGTATACCTATTTTGAGGAATTCTGAAAAACGCGACCACATCGTGTTCCGTCCTCCCTGTCGTCTGCCTCTTGACTCATTCAATAGATGAATGGATCTCTTGCATCATTTGAAACGAATGTACATGTCAGCGTTTTCTTTTGCTGAGGCGGACGGGATTAGAGGTGGTGACGATGAAAGAGATACTATGCAAATGAAATAACGATTGAATTGCTGCTTTCCGAGGTGCATATCGAGGTACATTTCGCCAACCTCACAAAGGGCGACGTGGAGAAGCAAAAGGTCGCAAACGCACTTGCTTGGGACCTACGCTGGTGGTTTGTGTCGAATACTGGAAACTGCTCTTTGACGGCAGTAGACAGGAGCGTGTCAATGCTAGGACTACTCCTATCTTGACAGTTACTGTACGACAGTACAGTACTGTGGCGTCAGAAGGCAGCGTAACAGATCCGCAACAACTCGAAAGTCTGGATTAGTTACATTAATGAACGGAGACAGAAACGACCCAGTGACAAACCCGGCCCGTGGCTTGCAGAGGGGCTCGAGTCTAATGTAGTGAAATGGAGAATGAATATATTGAGGAGGAGTGTTAAGCTTGGTAGGCTAATCTGGTGTCATCATATCCAGTCTGGCGCAATCTTCTTTCGTCTGGCGCAATCTTCTTTCGTCTGGCGCAATCCAAGGATGGTCTCGCAGGTCATATCGATAGACAACCCATGTCACGAATGTACATGTCAGCGTTTTCTTTTGCTGAGGCGGACGGGATTAGAGGTGGTGACGATGAAAGAGATACTATGCAAATGAAATAACGATTGAATTGCTGCTTTCCGAGGTGCATATCGAGGTACATTTCGCCAACCTCACAAAGGGCGACGTGGAGAAGCAAAAGGTCGCAAACGCACTTGCTTGGGACCTACGCTGGTGGTTTGTGTCGAATACTGGAAACTGCTCTTTGACGGCAGTAGACAGGAGCGTGTCAATGCTAGGACTACTCCTATCTTGACAGTTACTGTACGACAGTACAGTACTGTGGCGTCAGAAGGCAGCGTAACAGATCCGCAACAACTCGAAAGTCTGGATTAGTTACATTAATGAACGGAGACAGAAACGACCCAGTGACAAACCCGGCCCGTGGCTTGCAGAGGGGCTCGAGTCTAATGTAGTGAAATGGAGAATGAATATATTGAGGAGGAGTGTTAAGCTTGGTAGGCTAATCTGGTGTCATCATATCCAGTCTGGCGCAATCTTCTTTCGTCTGGCGCAATCTTCTTTCGTCTGGCGCAATCCAAGGATGGTCTCGCAGGTCATATCGATAGACAACCCATGTCACGAATGTACATGTCAGCGTTTTCTTTTGCTGAGGCGGACGGGATTAGAGGTGGTGACGATGAAAGAGATACTATGCAAATGAAATAACGATTGAATTGCTGCTTTCCGAGGTGCATATCGAGGTACATTTCGCCAACCTCACAAAGGGCGACGTGGAGAAGCAAAAGGTCGCAAACGCACTTGCTTGGGACCTACGCTGGTGGTTTGTGTCGAATACTGGAAACTGCTCTTTGACGGCAGTAGACAGGAGCGTGTCAATGCTAGGACTACTCCTATCTTGACAGTTACTGTACGACAGTACAGTACTGTGGCGTCAGAAGGCAGCGTAACAGATCCGCAACAACTCGAAAGTCTGGATTAGTTACATTAATGAACGGAGACAGAAACGACCCAGTGACAAACCCGGCCCGTGGCTTGCAGAGGGGCTCGAGTCTAATGTAGTGAAATGGAGAATGAATATATTGAGGAGGAGTGTTAAGCTTGGTAGGCTAATCTGGTGTCATCATATCCAGTCTGGCGCAATCTTCTTTCGTCTGGCGCAATCTTCTTTCGTCTGGCGCAATCCAAGGATGGTCTCGCAGGTCATATCGATAGACAACCCATGTCACGAATGTACATGTCAGCGTTTTCTTTTGCTGAGGCGGACGGGATTAGAGGTGGTGACGATGAAAGAGATACTATGCAAATGAAATAACGATTGAATTGCTGCTTTCCGAGGTGCATATCGAGGTACATTTCGCCAACCTCACAAAGGGCGACGTGGAGAAGCAAAAGGTCGCAAACGCACTTGCTTGGGACCTACGCTGGTGGTTTGTGTCGAATACTGGAAACTGCTCTTTGACGGCAGTAGACAGGAGCGTGTCAATGCTAGGACTACTCCTATCTTGACAGTTACTGTACGACAGTACAGTACTGTGGCGTCAGAAGGCAGCGTAACAGATCCGCAACAACTCGAAAGTCTGGATTAGTTACATTAATGAACGGAGACAGAAACGACCCAGTGACAAACCCGGCCCGTGGCTTGCAGAGGGGCTCGAGTCTAATGTAGTGAAATGGAGAATGAATATATTGAGGAGGAGTGTTAAGCTTGGTAGGCTAATCTGGTGTCATCATATCCAGTCTGGCGCAATCTTCTTTCGTCTGGCGCAATCTTCTTTCGTCTGGCGCAATCCAAGGATGGTCTCGCAGGTCATATCGATAGACAACCCATGTCACGAATGTACATGTCAGCGTTTTCTTTTGCTGAGGCGGACGGGATTAGAGGTGGTGACGATGAAAGAGATACTATGCAAATGAAATAACGATTGAATTGCTGCTTTCCGAGGTGCATATCGAGGTACATTTCGCCAACCTCACAAAGGGCGACGTGGAGAAGCAAAAGGTCGCAAACGCACTTGCTTGGGACCTACGCTGGTGGTTTGTGTCGAATACTGGAAACTGCTCTTTGACGGCAGTAGACAGGAGCGTGTCAATGCTAGGACTACTCCTATCTTGACAGTTACTGTACGACAGTACAGTACTGTGGCGTCAGAAGGCAGCGTAACAGATCCGCAACAACTCGAAAGTCTGGATTAGTTACATTAATGAACGGAGACAGAAACGACCCAGATACAAACCCGGCCCGTGGCTTGCAGAGGGGCTCGAGTCTAATGTAGTGAAATGGAGAATGAATATATTGAGGAGGAGTGTTAAGCTTGGTAGACTAATCTGGTGTCATCATATCCAGTCTGGCGCAATCTTCTTTCGTCTGGCGCAATCTTCTTTCGTCTGGCGCAATCCAAGGATGGTCTCGCAGGTCATATCGATAGACAACCCATGTCATACTCCCCCCATGATCTGTGAGATTTAGCACGGAAAAATGCGGCGGATGCTCACACGTTCTGCCATTGCTCCCTTGTCGATGGTCACAGTGCCGTTGCTGTGAACTTGGCGGATAACAAAAGGTCCGGTTGCCACTGCGTGCAATTTTGCACGGAACTTCTTGGGGACGCGTAACATCACGTGGTCTCCCGTATTGTAGAAATGCTCGAGGCGTTTGCTATTCTCGCGGTCATTGTCGGCGAGAATTGCATCAAAACGACGCTTCGATAGATAGCTCCAGTTGGCGTTATAAAGCTGACGAGTGATCATATCTTGACCGAAGAGTAGTTGACCTGGGGAAGCATTAAGAATGCTGTGGTAGCTTGCTCGCACGGCGAATGCAGCGTAGTGAATGGTTTTCTTCCAGTCAGTGCCATCGTGGCACCTGATGACATTTAAAATCTCGAGGTGAACGCGTTCACAAATAGCGTTAGCTTGAGGGTTCTTGCTTGTTATAGGCTTGGCTTGTATCCCGTAGCTGCGGAGCAATTCTTGAAACTCATCACCAGTGAATTCCGTTCCTAGGTCGTGTATAACCGTTACAGGACGCGGGTAGCGGCACAGCCATTCACGATCGAAGCTTTCGGCTGTGGTCAGCGAAGTTTTGTCGTGCTGAATACCCACTTCCAGCCAACGCGTCGCATGGTCAATCATGGTATACCGTAGTGTCCGTCTTCGTAGGGACCAATGAGATCGACATGAACGGTGTCAAAGGGGTTCACCGTCTTGAGTGTTCGTGGTGGTAGTAATCCATAGTCCTGCTTGCCTCCGTGGACCTTTGCCTTCTTGCAAATTAGACAATCTTTCGCATTCTTGATGATCGCGGCTTCCATTCCGGGCCAGTAGAGAACCTGCCTCATTGTCTTGTACTGTCGTTCACCGCCAGGGTGACTGAGCGTTAAATGATACCAACGAATGAGATCTTCTCGCAAGCTATCGGGCACGATGACGCGCTTTTGGTACGCGACCAGCGTGCAGCCGAGTAGAGGTAGAAGCTGATAGTCAGGATTGTTGTTGCCGTTGAGGCAAGCTGTCTTGATTTTTTGAATCATCAAGTCCTTATCTTGATGTTCGCGAAGAACCGGACCATGCATGACACAATCTGGTTCATCAGCGGTAGCGCATATCTCGTCCGCGAGCTGCAAATGAGTCTTCGTGTTCATCGCATCGAATCTCATCCGGGAAAACGCATCAGCACCAACATTCTTGGTTCCCTTGATGTAATGCATCGATAGCCTGTACTCAGCCAACAGGAGCTTCCAGCGCTTAACGCGCAGGCTGGTTTCGGTCGGATAAATTAGGTTCTTATGGTCGGTGTGAACAACCACAGGGAACCCGAGCAGCATGGTGCGGTATTCGCGCAGCATTTCAACGATAGAGAGGAGCTCAAGCTCCATCGTTGTGTAATTCACTTGATGCTTGTTGAGACTTCGGGAATAGCAGGCGAGAATCTGGTTCTTCTGCATAATGATGCCACCGATTTGCTTTCCGCTGGCATCGGCGTAGACGTGAAATGGTTGCTCAAAGTCAGGAAACGCGAGCAGTACGGCTTGGGCAAACGCTTTCTGGATAGCGTGAAATGCTTCCGTGTCGCTAGACAACCAGTCGAACGGGACTTTGGAGCTGGTGAATCGGTTGAGAGGTTGGCACAATGCCGTCTTGTTGGGTACCATATCTCTATAGTAATTAATCATTCCGAGGAAGCGGCGTAGTTCCTTCCTGGTTTTGGGGACGGAAATTTGTTGGATGGCTTGAATCTTCTTTTGTTGGGGCTGGATCCCTTGAGATGTCAGCGTAAAGCCGAGATAGTCGACGGACTGTCTGAGGATGTGGCACTTCTTTCCGTTGAGAGTTACCCCATACTTGGTTAGTCGCTTGAACACAATGTGTAGGTGCTCTAGGTGCGTCTCTTCACTATCGGAGTAGACGAGTATATCATCCAAATAGACTACGACAAAAGCCAGATCGCCAAAAATCTTCTCCATGCAGGCTTGGTATTCGTCCGGTGCTGTAGAAATGCCCATTGGGAGTCGTTTGTATTGATACTTCCCGAACGGAAGACAGAAAGCTGTGTGACCACGGCTTGAGGCAGCAAGGCGACGCGCGTAATACCCCATATTAGCATCGAATGTTGACAGATACTTGGCTCCTGCGAGACGCAACAGGATCTCGCGTATACGTGGGACGTAATAAGGGCTGCGTTTCAGATATCGGTTGAGTCCGCGAAAATCTATCAGTAGACGAAGTGATCCGTTGGGCTTCTTGAGAAAAAAAGCAGGCGATGCCATTTCTGAATCAAAAATCTGCTCCAGCACGTCGATGCTGACCAAATGCTGGATGAGCTCTCGAGCCTTGTTTTCGAGGCTTCTTGGGACTGGATAAGGTTTTGCGTGTACAGGCTTGTACTCCGGCACTATTGGTAGAGCGTAGTCTTCGAATCTCATCCTCCCCAAGTGACCGTCATAGAGATGCTCGTTATCGCGAAGAAGCTGGAGATATTTACCGACGAGTGGCTTGGATAGCCTGTCTGGCATGTGGTCTTCTGGTCGCACTGCAGTGTTATCGACTTCTTTGCTCTCTTCGGGGAATTCATAATCACTTGCGTTGGGAGACGATGACCCGCCGGTGTTTAAATGTGTATCGTGACCATCCCACTGAACCAGTTTGTCTTTAAAATTGAGCACGATTCCTAGTTCATTCAGGATATCACGACCGATTACCATGGCATCCTGGCTCTGATCCAGAATTTCGAACTTGTGCGTGATTATGGTCGAAGGCTGGAGAGACGGAAAGCGGAACTGTACAATCGTACTACCAGCACTAGCGACTTCTCCGTTGACCGTCTGAAACTTTGTCGCCGACTCGACTTGTCTATGCCCAAGCTGAGCATTGGCTCGCATAGTTTCTTGGTTGATTATGCTCCGCGAAGCACCACTGTCTAGCAGGGCATTGAAGGTGCCACTCGCGTCTTTGAATTGTACCGGGATCCGGAGTGGGGCGAGCTTGGCGCTCGGTTGCTTCTTCTTGACAAGGCCGACAAGCTTAAGCTCGCTGTCGCTGTCACTGTCGCTTGCCTCTTCCTCTTCGAATCTTGGGTAATTACTCTTTTTATGAGCAGTTCGTTTCGTCTCGGCAGGCTTGTGCTCTTCGCGTTGCTTCTTGAGGGCAAAGCATTCGCTGGAATCGTGCGAGCTTGATTTGTGGAATGAACACCACTTGCCGTGTTCTTGGTGACGGTCATGCTTCTTCTTGCCGCCTAGTACACCAGGTCGGTCTCGATGATCTTGACGCGTGTCGCGATGCTCGCGAGGGTTGCGCCGATCTCTGCGCTGGTCAGCGGTAGGGCGTTGTTGGTCGCGTCGACCTTGACCCTTTTCACCACCCTGGGTAGCTGGACCATTTAGGCGATCCCGGCCAGTCTGCCTCTCGCGCCTTTCGAGGCGCTCGAAATACATCGCCAGTTCGTTCACCGTCTCATACGAAATTCCGCAGCACGCGAGCTTGTCCTGCCAGTGCGGCGGCATGGCGCGGCGAAAATATCGACATTGTTGAAGCTCTGAGATGGTTTGCGAATCCTGGGGCAACTCGGCGTACATCTGTGCAAGCTGTCTTAGCCGTGCCGCGCAGCGTTGTACCGTCTCTTCTCTGCGCTTGGTGAGTGTCCATAGTTCTTCATCCAGGTCTTCACAGTAATCCGCTGGGACCAGAAGAAGTCCAACCTCCCGGTAAAAGTCTTCAAATGTCAGGCCTTTGCTGGAAGCATCGCTGGCAATGCGCTCTACTTCGCGCAACAGATCACCGTCAACCAGCGTAAGAAGTTGAACGGATAGTTGGTCAGCTCTCCAGCCTTTTCGTTTCGCGAGGCTTCGAAACTGCATGCTCCATGTGAGCCAGTCCTTCGATGAACCACCGCGAAAGCGCTTTATCTTCATTGTGGCGACGTCAGCTGGTAAAGTCGCACTTTCTTGGCACGTCACGATGGTGTAAGTGACGTATTCATCCTCATTCCGTCCCATGATGATGGCGACGGGATTCTCGTACGGGATGAGATGTGACTAAGTTAGCCAAATTTGATATATCAAAATGACAAACCCGGCCCGTGGCTTGCAGAGGGGCTCGAGTCTAATGTAGTGAAATGGAGAATGAATATATTGAGGAGGAGTGTTAAACTTGGTAGGCTAATCTGGTGTCATCATATCCAGTCTGGCGCAATCTTCTTTCGTCTGGCGCAATCCAAGGATGGTCTCGCAGGTCATATCGATAGACAACCCATGTCACGAATGTACATGTCAGCGTTTTCTTTTGCTGAGGCGGACGGGATTAGAGGTGGTGACGATGAAAGAGATACTATGCAAATGAAATAACGATTGAATTGCTGCTTTCCGAGGTGCATATCGAGGTACATTTCGCCAACCTCACAAAGGGCGACGTGGAGAAGCAAAAGGTCGCAAACGCACTTGCTTGGGACCTACGCTGGTGGTTTGTGTCGAATACTGGAAACTGCTCTTTGACGGCAGTAGACAGGAGCGTGTCAATGCTAGGACTACTCCTATCTTGACAGTTACTGTACGACAGTACAGTACTGTGGCGTCAGAAGGCAGCGTAACAGATCCGCAACAACTCGAAAGTCTGGATTAGTTACATTAATGAACGGAGACAGAAACGACCCAGATACAAAACGCACATGAGGTGAAGCTTTACATGTACCGAAGCTTAATGTAGGAGCAGGCAACAGTCACTTGCCGGCTTCTTTCGTATACACTTTCTTGCCACTCTCGTTGACGTAATACGTGCCTCCGCGAGGGCCAACATGATAGACACGGTCGTCCGTTTGGATCACACCGACGTCGGTGTGATCACTGTCATCAGAAGACGAGAAGCTGTCGCGATAAGAAGACTCTTGACTTGAGCTTGAAACCGATTGTTTTGCTGTCTTCTTCGCAGCGAGCGCAGCTTGAGGTTTTCGTTTGACTTTCGGCTTCGACTTGCTTTGGTTTTCATTTCGCAGCGTCACTTTTGTCTTCGTCAAAGGTTTCTTCGTTTTCGGCTTGGCCGAAGTCGTAGGTGCTACGGGTCGTGGAGGCCTTCTGGGCATTTGGCTTGTCGTTAAAGTGGGAATGCATGCCTGCATCTCTTTTTTCTTTTGGCGTGATCGGAATATTTTGGCTGCTAAGTGAGAAAACGGGTTGCGATGATGCTTCTCAGGAGACGCGGATGTACTTGACGCAGCACTGTTTCTGATTCTGGACTCCGGATCCGGCTTCTTTGCTGGTGACGGAGGAGCTACAAGCTGCCCTCTTACTGGCGAAGGTGAGCGGGATCCACGATGTACGGGTCGTTGGAGCTCAGACTTGTCTTTTGATAGATCCCACAGCACGGGTCGGTCGCCAATGTCGAGCAAATTAAACTGTCGGCGCAAGCTTACATACAAATGATGACCTTTGGCTGCAATCATCGCGTCTTGGAAGATATCGTCTTGAGCGTGCTTGGCAATCTGGATCAGGCGGTCGTACTCACGCGTCGAGATCTTTGTAAGTTGTTTGTCGCGGCCAGTAGTACCTTCCAAAGCTCCGGAAGCTTCTTTGGCGTTGATCAGCATCGCGTCCACCTTCTTGTGCAGAATCTGATTGCTCGTTGCCAGCATGAGGCGGAGGTTGCTCGAATGATTGAGAATCTGGCGCAACTCTTCTCCCATGCGATGCTCCACAGGCAGACGTTCATTCAGCCGAAGCATGACCTCCAGTCCAATGTAATGGGCAGCCTCCAGTTTGTCCTTATTTGCGGCGTTCGAGCTGTTCCGGCACGCCTGCTGCGTTGCCGGCATGCGCATATTGTGCGTATGTAGCGGTACATTAGGAAGGGCATCCAGCTCCCCTCTCGCGTACATTTTGTCCAGTGCTGACTCGCTGTACTCGGTAAGAGCTGCCGAGACCATGGCTATCTCCAGAATCTCGTCCTTCGTGAGTTTATCGCCTCCTTCTAGTGGACCCACGGCGTCTTCGACCCATTGTAGCAACTCGGCCTTGCTCTTGCTGGTTTTGCGTCCTACTTCTCGAGCCAGTGACATGTGGTGGTTCTTGAAGTAGTTCCGATACTTACAGAACCGGTCGTTGTCGCTGGCTCGAAGTGTTTGCGCACGTCGCGTGTTTGCAGGGCAACAAATGTCGGCGACCGTGAACTCGGCACGCGCTTCTGCCGAGATCTCATTGGCCGGTACGTTTCCATTGGGCCTGGCCGAGCTTGGACGGGTCTCGTTCTTCGACTGAGACGTGGGCGAGAGCCGCGAGTGTTTTGCGCCCATGGAATGAGCTTATGGACGGAGTTGAGAGAGCACAGTTGCCGGATTTATGCTCGACGGTCGCCATCGCTGTCACTAATGTGAAAAGCTGGCCGTTATTTCACGAAAACGGTGAAATAACAACTTGAAGGCGTCTCAATAATGTCTCTTGCGAATTGCAGCCATAATACTGCGCGGTATTCTCGAAAGTTATGTCTCTCGCTTCCTATAAAATTCAGATGGTACGAAACGCTCGCAGCTGTTATGATGGAATAGATACCTGGTCGCCGTCCGGTGCACGGGAATGCATGAATCACGCGGCTTTATGTAGTGTAGGCATGCCTCAGCATCGGCTTGATTTTTTGGTGGTGTCGTGAGGCGTCAATAGCCACGAGAAACTCCCATGTACCTCGCAGAGCCCTTACATACTCAGCAGAGCGAAAATCCAGTCCAATAACACGCGAGTATGTTACTGCACGATACTATTTATACACGGACAACCGTTTGCGCTGAAAGTTCAGAGGTGATCGAAGTACTTGAGTTCAGATGTTGAGCGGGTCAAGGAGCAGCACGACACTCTGCATAAGCGTAACGTCATTACATCGCTAAAAAAGGATTTGGAAATGGCATTCCCTTGGCACACGAGTTGATGTCGCAGTGCGTATGTCAGCAATGGCATGGACGAGATTCCTCGCACATGACTGTTGCAGGCTTGGTCATTTCCGCATGAGCGAGATTATGTAAAGGCCTCCTCCCGGTACAAAGATTGGGCAACAAGACGTCTGCTGCTTGCAACAGATACTCTGACTCTGAGTATCGTTCCAAAAGTTCAGGGCAGCATTCGTGCCAAATTTAGACAAAGAGGTCTGCTAAACTAGGACTGCACAAGACAGCTGAATAGAGCTCAGCACATATCCAAATAGGGTTCGAGTTCACATAACGAAAGCTCGATACTCATTTGAATGGAGCAAATAATGGGCTCAAATTAAATACTTCGTATATTTATACACCCTTCTTGTCACACGAACGCACGATGAGATCAAATCTTGAATAAAACCTTCCATTTTCTCAGTGGCTGGTACAAGTCGCAGCCGTTTAGGATCTCTCTATCCTCAGCAGCCAGCGGCGCACTCGAAGAGCTCCGTCCCCTCACACAACCAGTAAGTCAGCAAAGCCGAGGGTTAAACAATGGTCCTGGGCATCGTTTCTGCTGGCATAGGTGCGACAAAGACGCTCTTGAGCTTCTACGGCTCCCTGCTGCACTACTGGGTGCGCCGGGGTAGCTACGCGGACTGTCCCTTCTTCTCCGATGACTTGCACGCCAAGACTTATGTGTACTCGATTGCACTGCTGAACCCTTTGTGGAGTCAGCCGCACTACCGCCACTCGAGCTTCTATAAGGACTTGGTAACGAACCTGCGCAACGTCGCGATACCGGGCACTGGCGTTCCTCTCTCGATGCTGAGCTCCTCGCGTCTCATTCTCTTCCCCTTCTTGCTTTTTGTGTACCCATGGCTCTGTGCTGTTGGTGCATTCTTTGAGCTTCCTAAAGAGTACTCGAACAAACAGGGCAACATCATTGAGCGCTTCTTGCGCACGTTTACGCAGATCTTCGTCTGTCCTCAGAACTGGTTCGCCTTCTGGCGCGTGAACTGCCATGTGGTGAGTCTCCATAGCCTCAAGACACAGTCGCCCGGTTACCGTATGGAAAACAAATGGGACTTCCTTGTCGAGGCAGAGAAGAACGAGATTGCTGTGACCCCGTACCTCAAATCGCCCAGTTCGCTTGTCATTAAGGATCGCAACGAGGAGGGGGGTATGGGTATCTTCATGTTCAAGAATGCTGTCAATGGAGGAGACTATATCATCCAAGAGAAGCTGGACAACTCTCCATTCCTGAAAAAGCTGCTACCGGACGTATCGCCTCTGTCGACTTTCCGCATCATCACCGCGTCACGTCACGGCCTGGGAGAGGCGGAGGCGCTGAAGGACGGCGGCAATGGTGTCAAGTCGCTCAGCTGCGTGTTTCGCGCTGGTCTAGCGGGTGCTGCCACGGACCACAAGTCCATCATGTTCGACGTCGACATGGAGTCGGGCAAGATCTTGAAGGGCTCCACCACCACCCATTGGTACCGTGTAGGGCCTCACCACATGTTTCGTGGCAACCTCAGTGTGGGGCACGACATCACGAGCCACCCAGACACGGGCGTTCCGATCACGGGCAACGTGATTGAGGAGATCAAGGAGATGAAGCAGCTGGCAGAGAAAGCGCATTACAAGCTGATGAGAGACGTGCCGCTCTGTGGCTGGGACGTGGCCATCACGGACTTGGGCGTGCTGCTACTGGAGGTTAACATCTCGTGCAACTTTTTCCGCGGCACCTTCGACCAGCCGTGGTACTTCCAGTTCCTGGACGACTACTTCCGTCACCTTGAGAAGTTGCCGACTACTGTGGAGAAGAAGATCGAGTAGATGCGCGTGATGCTGTTAAGCAGCGTATTGAATGAGCTCAGGTTGTGCATTTGTCGCTTCGTGTAGTTTTTGCATCAGTGCTGCTGTCGAGTTGGTTTTCGTGAAGAAGAGTGACATCGTCCAAATGTAGCTCGGGTTCAAATCCGATGTGCTAAAACAGTAGTATTTCGAGGGTACATCGGATCATGTTTCGTCGAACGCAGGTGACTCCACAGTAGTACCTGCAGGTTACACCGTTGCGCGTTTCGCAGTAACGTCCACGGTGTTTTTAATCTCACCAATCATGCGTCGTACTTGGTACACGTCGACTTTTTCTCCTAACCGCGGAAGGCCACATGAAGGCCGATGATGGCTCCAGTCTTTAACCTCCTGTGGTAACCCACTCGTCCGACAATCAATCTCACCACAAGGATGATTAATGCCACTTGTCTGTCGAACGATGTCGTCCATGAGCTCCTCTCCTATCTTCCGATGGACGATATGCTTGCACTCGAGCGCGTAAGTGGTTCGTGGAGACGGATGCTGGCAACTGCGAGCTTCTGGACTCAAGTGTGTCTCGACCACTCAACACCAAGGAGTCAGTGCGCGTCCACGCTCGTCAATATATTGGCGAGACGTCACGGGCCACAGGTGAAAAGACTGACGCTCGTTGGGTGCGACATCCAGGAAGGATCGTTGTCGCCCTGGGCCCCGCAGTTTTCCAGTCTGACGCACTTGACGGTCTCTGGCTGTCAATCGATTTCGGACCGTGACTTTTTGGCTATTGTCCAGGCCTCACGCAACCAGTTGCTTGTAGTGCGTGCTGTCAAGTGTCTTAGATTAACGGACGCTGCTTTGCAAGCCATGGGTGATTACCACCCGCAATCACTGGACCGGATCAACTTTAACTATTGCCGACAAATATCAGGAGATGGAGTCCAGACGCTCGCTCGAAAGTGCACCAACCTGCGTGTGATCAAGATCAAGAGCTCACCTGCAGCAACTTCCTCTGCAGTCGCCTGCATTGCCACCCATTGCCTCAAGCTGGAAACGCTGCTGGTTGGTGGAGGGAGAAAACTTACAGATGAGTGTCTAGTGACTCTTGGAGACCATTGTCCGCGGTTGACATCGTTGGATGTTTCGAGAAGTAACCCGTTCGGATGTGGTCGAGGGGGTATCACGGACAACGCTCTGGTGTACCTGGTTACACGGTGTCCACAGTTGAAACGCTTGAAACTGTGCGGTCAGGGTCGTCTGACGCTCTCCGTGCTTCGGTCGCTTGCCACTTTGAGCCCAAAACTTGAAAGTCTCGATATCGGTGGATGTCATAGCATGATCTCGCAGCCTCTTGCATTAGGTGCTGAGCTCAAGAGCATGCGCAGACTTCACGGTTTCAGCGTCACGTTCTCGCGAAGTGTATCGGGAGACCAAAATGATGTCATTGCGTCTCACTGCCCGCAGCTGAGAGAGCTACATGTTGATGGAGGCAAAGTCGTCGCAGCGCATGCTTGACTTGTGCATGCATGAGTTGTGGATGTAGTTTATATATAAATGAATCAAACACGAAGCAGATAGTATCCTTCGTGTTACCCTTTGGTGTACCTTTGCATCACTCGACTACATACTCGGTCTTGAAGAAATCTTCAATCGCATGAGCTGCCGATGTGCTCAGCACAGTCACATCCAGTAGTTTCTCCGCCCCAGCTAGTGAGATTGACGCGATATTGCCTGCTCGAAACTGGTGTAAGCAATACACTCACGTACTTGCAGATCACGCCCACGCACCAAACAGGTCGAGGAGCATGTCACACTCGTCCATAGAAAGAAAGGGAAAATTAGTTCGCAATGTACACATTGCATGTTGACGAGTGAGCAGTTCTTCGTTCATCTACAATATCATTGCGTACACATGTCAGCGTACTGATGTGGCACGGATGTCCCAACCATTGAGCAGTTTTGCCGGTTTGACAACGTACGCGCTGGTTGAGCAAGTCAGCCTTCTTGGAGATTTGAAAAGCAAGTTTCTCGTGAACAGACACCTGCTTTGTGTTAAGTCGAGTGCCCCAAACGATGACAAGTTATGCTGCGATGATAACATGAGCAGGACGAACCATGAGTTTGACGGCACCACGAATACTGAATGCTGTGATGAAAAATTTGCAGAAGTGGCGTTAGTCCAGTTGTAACTCACGGCGGTAACATGCCGTACCCGAAAACATCTTCATTTTCATTGAGCTTCTCATGGCAAGTAGCTGCAGTCTCGAATACTGCTGAATTGGAAGAACAGCGATCGCGAACGTATTTTTGAACGCTTGCTGCGCCTTCAACAGTCTGTACAAACGTGTTGCACTATCAGATCACTCGTGAAACCATGCTGTCACTCGACAGACATGTACATCAATTGCTCTTTCCTATCAATTGTGCTCTCGACTGAGAACCCAGGCACCTCTCTGTGTACCAGCTGAACAACCACACGTTAGTGCATCGCATGAATCAGCAGATGTAGCTGTTAATAAACTTGATGTTTGCATCATCACCATGAAAGCCACAGGAGGGAACTCGCCCTGTCGCTGCGAGATCATCACGTCTAAAGAGCTCTGCGTCAGTCACTGAAACACATGACATTAGAAAGTATCGACGTACCGGCAAGACACCCTTTGGCCTCTATCAGGTGGCAAACCAAGACGATTAATAGTCAGCAGGTGGAGATTATCCACACGATATTAAGCACCGACCAGTAGTCAGTCACTTGCCTTTTGGTTGGAAGCCGTAAACGCCTTCGAGCTCTTGAGCCACTACACACGTCAGCAGAAGAAGAAGAGGAAGATGAAGATGCTACACACAGAATGGATCATCTCACCTTCATTGGTCACCGTGTGCGGGTTGTAGAGCACCAGTTGCCCTCGAGCACCTCGACGTCGCGTGATCGTTCGGCTCGCCATCACCACTTCAACTTTGAGACCATCACTCTCTGCCACACCACTCTTACCTCAATAACCAACATGAAAAGCTTCTGGCACGAGCTCGCGCGGCCGCTGTACTGTGTGGCGCCCATGGCAAACGTGACGGACGCGGCGTTTCGTCGCCTCATTAGCGACATCGCCAAGCCGTCAGTCATGTGGACAGAGTTCGTGAGCTGCGAGGCGCTGACGCACGACCCGGAATCGCGCCGCCGCATGATGACGACGCTCCAGTACGCCGAGCAAGAGCGGCCGGTGGTCGCGCAGCTCTTTGGTTCGAAACCCGAGCAGTTCTATGAGGTGCCTGGATCATTCTCTTGCAACTTGGCGACTACGCATGTCTCACTTACTCTTTCTCTCTCTCTCGTCGCTTGTCGTTATTGTTTCTTTGTTGCTGCCAGTCCGCCATGATTGTACGTGACTTGGGCTTTGACGGCATCGACATCAACATGGGCTGTCCAGAGCCGACTGTCACAAATCAAGGGAGCGGTGCCGCCTTGATCTTGCAGCCACAGTTAGCAAGCCAGATTGTGGCTGCATGTAAACGTGGGGCGGGGGTGCTGCCCGTTTCTGTCAAGACGCGCATTGGGTTCCACGACGTTGATTACAAAGACTGGGTGCTGCGGCTCTTGGCTACTGAGCTGGAAGTGCTCACTATCCACGGACGAACGCGTGATGAGATGTCTAAGGTCCAGGCACACTGGGACGTCATTGGGGAATTGGTAACGCTGGCGAAATCGACCGGCTCTTCTGCACTTATACTTGGCAACGGCGACGTTGAGAGTCTCGTGGACGCACAGCAGAAAGTCAATGATTACGGAGTTGACGGTGTCATGCTCGGCCGTGCTTTGTTTGGCAATCCGTGGCTGTTCCAGGGTCACCCAGATACATCGCATGTATCAGTAAAAGAGAAGCTGGAGGTGATCCTGCGCCACACACAGCTTTTTCAAGAACTCTTGGCCGAACCTGGCCTCGTGGGGTTTCCGCGCATGAAAAAGTTTTACGGTTCGTACTTGAAAGGAGTGCCCAATGCGCGCCAGTTACGCGATCGTATGGCTCGCACTCGAAATGCTCAAGACGTGTATGATATTATCGACGAAGCTCTCGAGCACCTAGTGATGGAGGAGCAACAAGTACAATGTAATGATTGAGCTTTCTCGATCCTTGTCTACTCAAACTAGCAGCAGTCTGATGCTTGTTCCTCGTCCATCTGAAGGCATGCTTGACCAACAAGCTCATCCTCAACACGCGCATCCAGCACCTCGTCAGGCAAAACCTTCACGGCATTTTCGATCATATCGCGCAGTTCTGGGCGTGGACCCTTTCTCGCCCATTGAGCTGAGATGCTACGTTTGAATGCCTTTCCACCGATCTCGCCGCTGCAGTAATAAAAGCCATATCAAGTGCACATTTTACTGCAAGGAATAAATGAGAGAAACGTACTTGAAGAGCGCCAACAGCGGCTTTAGCAACGCAGATGTGGCCATTGTGTAAGGGGACTCGCTCAGCGGTTTCGTGGACTCCCATTTCGATTGCAGATCCTCTGCATATGTAAGATACCGCTCAATGATTTCCCGCCGTGACAGATTCGGGTTGCGTTCAGCGCTAAAGATCAACCGGTCTGCGTCACGGAAATTCCATGGCGTGTTATACGCTGCTCTTCCGATCATAACACCGTCCACGTTTGTAGTGTCCAGAAGTTCCCGAGCGTGCTGGATGCTCTGTACACCGCCATTAAGCGTGAAAAGCAACTCGGGAAAGTCTTGCTTGAGCTGGTAGACGACCTCGTAGCGAAGCGGAGGAATGGTGCGATTGTCCTTCGTGCTCAACCCTTTCAGGAAACACTTGCGCGCATGTACAATAAAGTGTCGCACACCAGCTCTGGCGACAGAGGCAATGTAGCGATGCAACTCCTCGTAGCTGTCGCAATCATCAACGCCGATGCGGCACTTTACCGTCACCTCTGCTGGCATTTGATCTGGATTGGCCTCTGCTGCCAATGCGATACTGTGCCGCATACCGACACAAATCTCCCGCACTCGATCAGGCTCCATCATCAGGCGTGCTCCAAAACAGCGGCTCGCTACTAGTGCACTAGGGCATCCAGTGTTCAGATCGATCTCACAGAAGCCGCCGTATGACTGGCTCAGATGTGCTGCAGCTATAAGCCCATGGCAGCCACGTGGGTCACAATGTCAGCGAACGCAGTGGGTGCAGCGATGCAGACTGAAACGGAAACAAGGTCGTACCACTGAGATGTTCGACACTGTTGCCGCCTAGCTGCAGTGCTAGTGGAGCTTCGATGGGATCATGGCCTAAGAAGTAATCGAGGTTCTCTTTCTGATGCAGCAACTGTCAAGAGGTAAACAGGTACGCTGTCATTACCCGCTCCGGTGCAAAAATGTATCTGGCACCACAAATTTGGGTCTTGTAACGATCTTTTACAGTGTAACGCTCAACGCACGGTTTGGTCCACTATCATTTCGGTGTACAGCAGCGTCTCTTTCGTGATCATGCGCATCATGAAGCGATAATGGCGGTCCGTCCAGTCCATCTGAGTGGTAGATGGCATGTTAGTAGATCTTTCGTCATGTTCTTTTGTGCTCATAGTGGAAGGGAGATAGTACCATGGGTGCAACGGATAAGCGGGTAACAGACGGAAGTGCAGTCATGGTTCTCCTTAACATGCCCTCCAGCGCCAATAACTGGGTATGACGGGTACAAAGTAAGGTAGCTGCAAATACGTCGCCGCAAATATTAAAATTCTGAGGCCAAGTGTCCTTCGTATTAATTTACGGAGAACTGCAGGAATGATGTAGGCGATAATGCACCGATACGCCTGATTGTGCTAGTGCTGACGTCGGGCGTCGTGTTGAAAGGGATGTTCCGTTCCTAACCGGATGCTAGTTGTACGCCAGTAAAGCCTACTAAAAAATGCTGGATTAGTCCGTGTAAGAGGTAGATCTAGAATGTTCGATGCGTAGTAAAACGTGTGAAAGAGCCCCTACACTGAGAGGTTCCACTTTGCATTCGGTAAGCCACTGAGGAGGTCTGCGGCAGCGGGCCGAAACGCTTCTGGCACGCGTCTGTAAGTAAAGTTTTTTAATGAAGCGGTCTTAGTTTTGTAAAAAAGTTATGAGCCCTGCGCGTGCACCGCCCGGCATGGGCAGGTGCAGCTGCACAAGTGTGAAAACAAAGAGCGTATGATAGAGGGGCGAGCGGATAAATGGTCGGCGCAAGTGAGACAGGTGGTGCCCAGGGGGAGCACACACAGAGGAAAAGGATGGCGGTACCAGGCATAAAGCAGCTGGTGCATCGCAACTATGATGATGCGGCCACACGAATTGCAAGCATTTCTGTACCCGCCTATAGTCGGTGGGTCGACAAGAGTTATTTTAAGAGCTTAAATTTGTAGCGGGTATCATCCGCTATGATTTCAATCTCTGGTCTTCTTCGAATACGGCCAGACGAGACGGGAGGCAGACCCAGTTTAGAAGTTTTCCATTTTCCTATCAAATAGTCGACTCGAATTCGACAACCCATGTTTGGCTCGCGATGAAGACGGAGAACAGGATAAACATCGATCAAGTAAAGAGTTTGATCGTAACCTTTACCAGTCAATTATTGAAGGTAAATGTAACAATGACCCCGTGTCGTTGTTCCAGACCTGAACTGATTGTGAATGAAGAACGTCCGATCGGTATGCGCTGTAGTTAAGGCATCTCTATTGACTGTATTGTCATGGCATCTTTTTATTATCTTCAAACGAACGAGAAAATGAAAAACGGAGCATGTCGACCTGATTCACTTCAACGACACCATGTCGTGGCGAAATGCACTGCATTGAATACCGTTTCAGCTGGAGTGAGGCTTAAGGTTGCAAGCAACGTACATGCAGGTATCACTCATGTACGTGAGTTGCCTGTAACGGGGTGAATCGTTACATAACAATTTATAAGAAATTGTTAATAGAATATAACTATAAGAGTTATATTCTCAGAATATTGTCATAAGGACAATATTCTGTAGCACTTCCAAGTAGTTCCTAATTGGTTGATATAGGCCATTATATCAACCAACGAAGACGCGCCACGACAGACGCACGCAATGAGTGGTGAGCAGATAACTGATTTACACATTTGTATTTAGACATAGTTAGATGAAGATAAATAGTGATTTATTGCAGACATTAACTATTATAAATACAGTTCTACTTTTTACTCTAACCGAGTACTCGCTTCTTCTTACCGTCTTCCTCTGCACGTACGAGTGTACGTGAAGTTACGAGGCACCGCCTTATTCTGTTATCAGAATAAGTAGCTTGTACTGTCACCAGTACAAGCTTCAGGGTGGCCCGTTACACCTGGTAGCACTTCGTAGTCCGTCCAAGGACCGCGTTCACATCCAACATGAATATGTTGGATGATGAAAGATGACCAAAGCTTTCACGCTACGCGTGACGGCTACTCCCATTTGAGCGATGTCGAATGGGATGCGGTTGAACGAATGGGTTCGACCATGGGCATCCATGCTGTTAGCGTCATGCTAGAGGCTCTCAATAGAGATGCCCAACATGCTACTATCGCCAAGTTCATTCAAAATGAACTTGACGCAGAACGCGAGAAAGTAGCCTTGCTTCACCAACAAGGTTCTCAACAAGCAGAGTTGTTGAGAGAACAAGGTGCTCAACAGTTTGAACTGTTGAGACAGCAGCAGGCTGCTGCTGGCGGGTCGATGCACTCGCGTCGGCCCGAGACTTTGAAGATTGACATCTCAAAGTATAGGGGGGTCGAAGAAGACTCCCTCTTGAGATGGTTCGTCGAATTGGATGACGCCATAAGGGCGCGTCGCATCGACGACGGGGATATGCAAGTTGCATTTGCCCAGTCAAATCTGGCAGGACGTGCCAAGACTTGGGCACTGGGGCTCAAGCTGCACGACCCATATGCGTTTGGGTCGCTAGAAGTCTTCAAGTCGCGGCTCAGACAAACGTTTGAACCGCCTAGAGCTGAGTTCAGAGCTCGAACCGAACTCTTGAAGCTCAAGCAGGGTAAGCGTGATGTGCACGCTTACGCTCAACATATACGACATCTCACGAGTTGTATAAGTTCCAATCCGGTGGATGAACACACGTTGGTTTCGGTGTTCATGCAGGGTCTTGCGGATGGTCCCGTCAAGACTCACCTGTTCCGGCTTGAACTAGATTCACTAGAACAAGCCATTTCAATTGCGGAGCAGGAAGACTTCAGTCTGAGACAGGCTCGCGCCAGCTCGACATCATATCGTCAACCGAGACGATATGACAACGGAGGTCCAGAGCCGATGGAACTCTGTTATGTAGAGAGCGAGAAGGCTCGCTCTACAGGCTACAAGAAGTTGCAGAGATGCAACAGATGTCAAAAGACAGGACACTACGCTTGCGAGTGTAGTGCCCCTCGTCCAGTGTCTCGCGACACTGGGCGTAGTGACCGTCCACCCATGAGAAAGGGGGCAGGGACGAGGGTCCGCAGTTGGTGCAAAGACGCAACAACGGGATGGACCGTCAAAAAACGGACAGGATCAGTAGGTGCGGAGCACCCTACTGATCCAGCAACGTCAAGAGAATTTGTAGGCCTCTTGATGAAGGTTGCTCCCAACACACAGACATTGTGCGTTGCTGCTCTAGGTAATGAGATCTCACTCATTACCTTGAAACTCGAAGTGACGAATAAGTTGTCCCTTCGAGCTCTAGTCGATTGTGGGGCGTCCAACAATTTTGTGCGACGCCAATCGCTAGAAGATGGTCACTTTAAATTCAGTGAATGTGACACACCTCCTACGAGGATGACGGTACGTCTTGCGACAGGCGCATCCGTAACCGTCATGAAGCGTATAGTGAAGATTCACTATACGCTAGAAGATACCCAATACGACGATGACTTTATCGTATTGGATTTGGATGACAAATTTGATGTCATCCTTGGAATACCGTGGCTCAGAAGGTACGAACCACGGGTAAACTGGCAACATCGGACAGTAACGATGCCTGCCGCTTGTTCATCAGATGGCCATCTGATGAACGTTTTGGAGAGTCCACAAGCGTGTGGATGTACTACGAGTGAGTGCGATGGCCTCACTTGTGGTACGGTCGTTAGTACGACTGCACAAAACCTTAGTGTACCAAACGGTTACACTTCGGAGCAAAGTTCCGGCGGCTGTGAGGAAACACAGGCTGCGCCGAAGGTCCACCACTCGAATAAGTCGGGTGGACTGGGACAAAGATGTATCCCTAGAGGGGAACATCTAGAAGAAAAACAATCAATGCTCAGGTTGCGAGAAACGATAATCCTAGATCGACTGGAGAGTCTTTCGTAGAGGATCTCGCTGTGGTTGCGCAACCCCAGCTAGAGGAAGTAAAGGGAATAAGTCCCAAGATTACAAATACGGCGGAAATAAGTTCCCCGAAACCCGCGGGAATAAGTCCCCGGGAAGCCGAAGGAATAAGTCCTTCGAGGCCTGAGGGAATAAGTCCCCAGGAAATGACAGAGACATTGAATGTCATAGTCAATAACGGATCATGTGTAGGCGCTTATACACTTGATCTGATTGCGCCTCCGAAGTTAACTTCGGAGATCACTCAGTTGCCAACGCTCGAACATAAAAGATTCTTGCGTGATCTGCGTAGTGGCAAAGTCAAGCAGATCTGCATACTCGTCGCTGAAGACGAGTGTGTAACCGACATAAGGTCAGCAACAGTGTTTACTGAGAACGAGAGAGTTCTCAGTAGTTCATCTATGGACGAGAGTGCCCTAGATGAAAAGACACGAATTGAGCGATATGAGTCCCAATCATGGGAATCGCTCAAGGAAAATCCTCTCTATGAAGATTTGGTTGAATTCAAGGATGTATTCCCTGAAACTGTTCCGTGCGAATTACCGAAGGATAAAGGTATTCGACACGAAGTCGAGCTTAAACCAGGCTCGAAGTACTGTGTCATGAAGCAGTGGCCACTGCCTCGTGAACAAGTACTTGCGATCGACAAGTTCTTTGCCGATCGTTTAGCTGCGAGGCCATGTGAGGGAATCAACTTCCCCACATAGCTCTCCGACCTTCTGTGTGCGAAAAGCAACAGGAGGGTGGCGGATAGTGCACGCGTTTAACAAATTGAACGCTGCAACGGTACCGGCTCAGACGCCGATACCGAGGAAGGACGTAATCATTGATGGTATGTCAAAGAGTACCATCTTTTCGTCCATGGATTTGATGGATGGCTTCTATCAAATCCTAATGCGGAACAGGATATACCCTATACCGCAGTTAGCACGCCTAGCGGCATGCTCTGGGAATGGCTAGTAATGCCACAAGGGCTCAGTAATGCCCCTGCCACGTTCAACAGGTGTGTATCACATCTGTTGAGGCCAGTACGAGAATTCGCGCCGAGTTATTTCGATGACGTATTCATCCATAGTCGAGCTATGGATGGAAAGTCGGACGTTGAGGTTCACAAGTACCACGTCCGACAAGTTCTTACAATCATGCGAAAGCATCAACTGTATGCAAACCTCAAGAAGTGTATATTTGCAGCAAGCGAAATACCACTTCTTGGGTGCATCGTTGGTAAGAACGGTGTACGTCCTAATCCCGAAAAGATCAAGGCGATCACCGACTGGCCCGTGCTGGTCGATGTCAAAGGTCTTCGAAAATTCCT